CAGTTGTTTCAACAGGTGAGCCACTTTTTGAAAAAAAAATAGATAGAAAAAATCGCTGGCTCGAAATTCATTTTAGACCTATGGTTCCTTGGGCAAAAATGCTTGAAATGACCCAAATAATCACAACCGCGATGTGCCTCTGTTAATTTTTTTGGGCCCCTACAAATCGACCCGCCCTAGGAGCATGTATGGACTAGGGATGTTGCGAATGTGAAATTTTAGACATCCGCGGATGTGAATGCGGATGTGAATATCTAACAGCTAACATCGGCGGATGCGGATGCAAATGCGGATATCAAGTATTTTTAAGAAACAATTATCTATCATAATGGTGAGATAGTTGTTTAAACAGCGCTTACAAGCCAAACCAGATATGTCAGATTTTGCTAAAGCTTTTTAAAAATAATTTTTCACTCTCATTCCTTTGGCTGTTTCAGAATTTGGCGAATCTGTAACCTCATCAGCGTTTTTCGATTTTAGTTTTTGTAATTCATTTTTAACACTTTCTTCTGCGACTGGTTTGAAAAATTTGTGCTTATAGCGAGCTAAATAGGTGGATATGGAAAATAAATTATTATTTTCCAGGAATGAAAATTTTCAACAAAATTCTGTTTTCAAAGTCGTGGATACCAGCCGAATCGGATCAGAATATTGTTATTTAAAAAAAAATCACCCTGTTTTTTATAGGCATTTAAATCTCAAATAGTAACGTAATTCTTATCTTATCAAAGGTCAGACCTATTAATAGTTTTTTAATTATTTGAGCATCGATTCTGTTTACACCCAGACGTTGATCATTTCTGCTGGAAATCCCTATTGCAGGAGCTTACTCTTTGACTTTAAATAGCAAAAAAATGGACAGTTTTACCACAGAAGTTTTTAGACAAGGATCCAATGTATATCCCTATAAAAAAATATTGCCCGACAAGAAAACAAAATTACTGTTTTTAAAATTTTTGCTAAAAATAAACTCCCCAAAGAGCCCCATTTGAAATTATTGAAACGAATATATGTAACATCAAAAGCAAATTACGAAAATTTGGTTATAAGAATTACAGTCCACACTTTCTTCTTTTGTGGCTAGTGGTTTTTTTAAGACTAGTCCAAAAAAATTATAATAAAGATAGAAACCAATGCAGGTATACAAAGCACAAAAAAATTTTAAAAAGGCTTTCTTCTCTTTGACGTAAGTCAAAGGTCAAGTAGAAGTTGAAACTTGAATGGCTGCCCATTGATAACTCGGTTATATAGCTTAAGAAATAATATGTTTAAAGACATTTTTATCAAAGTTGATAAATATGACATTTGAACAGTTTTGTTACACAAATACTCCCACGACCACGGGCAAAAATATTGGCTACAGTTCGTCATTTTTTTCGCTATATATACGTTTTATCGGTGCACTTGCACAACATTCGCATTCGCAAAAGCTCCGCATTGATTATTGCGAATGCGAAAGCGAATGGGAATGTTAAAATTAATGCGGAAGCTCCGCGGTTGCGAATGCGAATATTCGCAACAACCCTGGTATGGACATAGGCTATGTATATTTGTTGGGATTTCAGTGAGAGACATACGACGTTTCTATGTAAGCTATTTGCAAATAAAAATAATTTGCAAATACCTAACTCACTGTTTATTCGATGGTGAAAAATTATTTTTTTATTTTTCCTGATTATAAAAAGGCAATAATATGACCCTCGAAAAAGAAAATAGAGTTACAAATGGCAACGTCTTGATTATAAAAAGGCAATAAGATGACCATCGAAAAAGAAAATAAACCTAAGAACGGCGTCGTCTTACGCTTATTTGCAAATAGTATCACTAATCAATACTTATTTGCGTTATTTAGTTATTTGCAAATGAAAAATTAACTCAGCGTTTATAAGGCAAAGTTTACCATTTTGCAAATTGTTATTTGCAAATAATACGTGTGTATAAACGTAGTAACAGAATTTATAAATCAGCTGTGCCTACTTTGATGTTCTTATTTCATTAGGTTCACGTACATATTTACAAGTACTTTAGTATTTACATATGTATGTGTGTACATACACCCACTATAATTGTTCTTGAGTGCTCAGTCAAAAATATTTAAAACACAAAATTCAAATAAAATACGCCTACTTCGATGGTTTTTTTTTAGTTTCTTCGCGTATTTCTTTCCTCTTCTCTCCCTCGCTAATTTGAATATATGTATGTACATCTATATCAGTGGTGCACAGCGTTGGCAGAGCTCCCAATACAAGCACAATATTTTTGTATCTGTATGTGTGTACTCAGCAAAACAGCTCGCGCACGTGATGCTTAGTGCTTATTTACACACGGCTATTTTTGTTGCCGCAACTCGACGTTCGTAGGAGAGAGCGTGACGAGGAAAGGAGAGGGGCACCGAGTTGCTCGTGTTCGGGCAACACGCTTTGTGCTCTCGTTCGTCTGTGTAAATTGAAAAGCTGTTCACAGCTGACAACAACAATTGCATACACACAAATCGCCGTGTGTAAATGAAACGAGCAACACCAAAAGGGAATGTGAAAAATCGCGTCGATAAAAGTTTCCGCGTATAAACACAGTCTTACAGCATGAAGTACAAACGCAAACCACAATATAACCACCCTGCAAGCCACAGCTAACCAGTTGCCCCTGAAATTCAACAGATTTACACACACACTCGCAACTTTTTAGCTATGCTACCCACATGATGCAATAATGAAAGGTGTTGTACGTTGTGACAGCTCGAAATCGAACTACCTTAGGTCAATATTGTATTTTGGAAGTACAAGATAAACGGGAATAAAAAAAAGCCTTTTAGTTGAAAAAGTACTAAATTGTATGCCTTCTCAACAGCGTTCCGATTATCAGAATAGGTATATATATGGCTTGGTAGTCTCATAAAATTGTAGATAATTAAAATAATAAAATTAGGCGTGTTTTTATTCACAGGAATATGATAATATGCTTAAAATTTTCGAGCTGATGAATACCCAGCTAGAACAATATGGCTTATATAATTCCTTTTATGAGCCGTATCACTAAGAAAATTATCCCTTATGAATTTGAAATGTGTCCCTTATATTGTACAGGCCAAAATGAGGAATTCATTTACGTGTGATCTTTTGTCCCCCTCTTTCATATAGGCTTCTTGTGCGCATATATCAGGTTTCATAGCTGTTGACCATACCAATAATGCCTCATGCTCAGTTTTACTAGATCAATTCGTGTTCTCGAGAAAAAAAAAATGTCACGATTCAAAAATCTAAGTATAGCCGCCAAATTCTTTTCTCAAAATTTTGAAAATTCTTTGTTTTTTGACCTATATTTGCTTTGTATGGTATTTTCAACAAAATATAGGCCAAAAACGATAAATGTTCAAACTTTGGAGAAAAACAATTTTTCAGATTTTTGGATCGTGAAAATTTTTTTTCTCGGAGAACACGAATTGATCTAGTAAATCTTAGTATGAGGCATTATTGGTATGGCCAACAGCTATCAAACCTGATATAGTCGCAATAAGGTTTTTTTGTGTTCCACAGTGTTATACAAGGGATACTTTGAGGAATCATATAAGGAATTATACATTACCCAAGTCCACGTATATCCAAGTTCGTGTCATACAGCAAGCATTGACTACTTTTTAAAGTTTTATTTATTTGTTTTTGAAATTAACGACATATTTCAGAATTTGTAATTAATACGTTGTGTTCATTTTAGTAAATCCACTTTTTTAATTGTACAAAATTTATTATATACATACAGTATCGGTCATATCAATAGCTGAAAAACGCCCTATTTTAGAATTTGATTGAAAAATGCCCTATCTCGGAACTCGGTTCAAAAACATCCTATATCAGCACATTTTCGAAGTAGGACTTCGATAGGACTTTTTTGAACCGACTAATAATAATAAAATATGTACTATATACATATCTAGTTTCAATATAAAAAAATTTATGTACACCATTAATTGTGTATACATATCTAAGTCAATGTATGTGATATATATGTACATACATCTACATACATATCGTCGTTTAAAGTACAAAACCATGTATCAATAAATTGCAAAACCGCGTATAGAGATAATGCAAACCCACGTATGCGAGGTTGCATAAATTAATTTCTAGAGAGTAAAAACACTCATATTTCAAAATGGTTATCTTTTTGTAAAAAGCAATCGCATTTTTGGCTAGTATATTTCAGGAAGAATGGATAAGGATTGATCCAAAAACGTGTGTGAGCGAATCCAATTTTTAGCAGCAAATGTCAGTTACGCGGTTTTGTACTTTAAGCGACGATATGTATGTTAACAGGAACGCAGCAATCTAATACACGGGTGGAGCAGGAACGCAGCACAACAGAAGCATACAAAAAATCTGCAAATAAATGGTTTTTTAGGTTTTTACCAAACGAGAACCTGGTTTCAACTTACTTCAACGTGTCTAAATCACAACGCACACACTAACGCAAAGGCGCAACAGGAACGCAACACTATAAAATACGGCGGAGCAATATACAGGCGGAGCAGGAACGCAGCACAGCAGAATTGTCCGAAAAATCTGCGAATAAATGGTTCATTAGGTTTTGAAATAACAAAGAGCTCAAATGGAATGGTTCATCAATAAAGTCAAAATAATATGTTGTAACTTACGTGTATTAGCTCTTAATCACAATACCAGCACAGGTCGGTCAGCGAAACACTAAGGAAATGACCTAATAAATGCAAAATTATAATTTATTTGTAAAATAATTCAGTTTTATTACAATACTTACCAAATTTCACGCAATTGGAAAACAAATGTCAGCGAATAAGAACAAAACGAACAACGAAAATTGAATCAATGTAGCTTGTTCAGAATTTTTTTCTAATATTTTGGGAAATGTTCAGTGAAAATAGCAAAGAAACAACACAGTTTCTCCTAAGGTAGTTCAAGATGGCGGATTAGAGCGGGAAGTTGCCAACGTATAACACCTTTCATTATTGCATCATGTGCTACCCACACATTTACAAATTTATTTTTCCGACTGTCAAAACAAAATTCTGAGTGAGAGCACCGGACCTAATAAAAATTTTTACTGTAATAAGAATTTTATGCGTTAGAGCGAGTAAGTGGAAATGAAGCAAAATTTGACAGCTTTGATCACAGAGGCTGTGACTTTAGCAAAAGTTTGACATCTTTGATCACAGTAGGCTGTAAATAAAAGCGTTAATTTTGCAAAAACATTTGAAGGTAAGAGAACGTTTTAACAATTTGCATTGTTTATAATGGAATTTTTTTCTTTTAGATTGCCGAAACACTGCGATTTAATCATATAATTAAGGTATGTATTAGAATTATTCACATATTTGTATATTTTAATTGATAATTTTGCATTTACAGATTTGCGATTTTTCATTCTAAATTTATCTTCGACCCTGCTACCACGGAACATCAACGCCACCTCCAGTCAGGCACCACACCAGAATATCCACCACCTTTATCGCCGCCACCAATAAACAGCGCTGCATACATTATTCGGTAAGTTTTCATGCGACGAATAAACGTTGCTTCTGCTGCAACTGCCTACATTAATCATGTTCCTGGTGCTTCCCGATTTGCACATTTCAAAAGAAAAGCTGTTTTTGCAATTAATAAACCTTATGGCGTACAGAAAGAGCTTCCTCTAAAAACCTGCGAAGCGTGAAGTACCTGGAACAGGCTTATTTAGTGCGTTCCAGAACGTCTACGATTTGCAGGTTTTGCAGGATTTAGTCCAAAGTCGTTCCCGTACGCCACGTTCACATAAGGCTTATTAAAGGCAAAAACAGCTGTTCCGGTAAAACCTGCAAATCCTGCAAATCGTGAAGTACGGGAACAGGCTAATTATGTGCAAATGTAAACAACAAAAGAAAGTGCAGTGTTTACATATGTAAAAAGTGTAGTAGGTCAGCCTTTGGAGGTTTTCCAAAACGAGTCAGTTCAACAAGTTGTAAATTGGAATTTCATGGTTGTGCGCTTAAAAACTGATATGTTTTGGAAAACAGTCTTTCTTACGATTATGCGATACCTTTTTATGTGCATATATTTTCAAATTTAGGACTGGTGAATGCGGACATTCTGGAAGCCATAGTTTACAAAGTGTAGTGCACAGTTCAACAACAGTGATTGGGTTTGCTACTTCATAGCAGCAGTGGAAATGGAAACATTGCTCTGCTATTGCTACTTCTCTACTTGAATGGATAAGAAGCACGGCCAGAATCGGAAAACACACGAGGACCTTTCTTGTTTTACTTGGTTCTATGTTTCGTTGAGGCACAGATCAGGTAGGAGAACTAAAATATGAACGAAGTGATATTTGTAGTCAGAGTAATAGCACATACAACAATATTATGATAGCCTCAACGAAACATAGCACTAATTAAAACAAGAAAGGCTTTCTTGTGTTTCCCGATTCTGACACTGCTTCTCATCTATTCAAGTAGAGAAGTTGCAATAGCAGATCCACGTTTCCGTGCCACTGCTGCTATGAAGTAGTGAACTCAACCACTGGTAGTTGTCATAATTCGCAGTAGTAACAGTTTAACATGAAGGTAGAATTTTTATTTTTGGATTCCTGATACGAATAAGTTTATTTTAGTTCCGATTCTGCATAATCTTTTTTTTTCCTTCTCTTGAAGCAATGGATTTGTCACCACTGTTCCTGGGAGATACCGAAGCGCTCTCTCCACCACGCACGAGCAACACAGGTATTTCGAAAATATACATACATATACATTTACAATATGTTTAATAGTTTTTAATCAAACATTCCTGCGCTTTCAGATGCAGCCCTACATAGAAAGCGCTTTCATGTGGCACTGCCTTACGAGGAGCGCTTTGTCTCCCAGCCAACAGTAACCACCAACACGGGTGTAGCCACTACAACAACAACAAGCAACACAGGTCAACAATTTACCTTGTCTCACCTGCTGGAGAGGCAAAAAGAAATGTTTGATGGCGTCATGGCCGCCATTGGAAGAGTTGAGTCAAAGGTGGACGGAATAGCAAATGCTCTGGCCGAAAAGGTTATATCAATGTACATATTTATGAATGATAAAATTATTGTTTAATAATTTAATTTTTTTTTCAGATGCCCGAACGCGCGGAAGTTCAAGCTCAAGGGCAGCTACTGCGAGAGTGCAAAGTGGTGACCTCGAAAGTTCACCAAAGTATTTCCCGAATCACTGGAGATGCTATTAGTAAAGAGCATACTTTGCTTCAAAGTATGCTTCCACTATCATCCCAGGAAAAGTTAAATACTTTGGAGAATCTTTTGGGAAACAAACCACACTCCGATGCGATGGTAAATTTTGCTAATTTTTTTGTTGTTTTTTATACACATATACAAATGTTTGTATATATCATATTAGTTGTATATATGCATTTTATTTTACTCATATTAATTTTTATTCGTATATACATATGTATGCAATTTTTTTTTATTAAAATTTGGTTTATAGTATGTATAACAAAAATCGTAAAAACCAAAGTTCCAAACTTTGTACAAATAATAGGAAAATTCGATAAAATTTAATTTAATTTTCATGCACTTTTCCAGCTTTTTGATACGAATTTTAAAAATGTTTTGAGTGTGCAATTCTGTAGCCCACTGATTTTTAGTATAATAATATGCAAGTTTGAAATTTTCACAAATGCGATTTTTTTGTGAACGGATTGGCTTACTTTCTCCCATACAAAAATAAACTCAATCACACAAAAGAAAATCTAAAAAATGCCGCAAATTTGTAGAAACTTTAAACTTAAATCTTATTATAATAAAATTCAGTGGACTATAAAATTCCATACTCGAAATATTTTTACAAATCGTATCAAAAAGCGGGAAATGGGCATGAAAATTTATGGAAATGGTTTGTAGGATTTTTGTTGTACTATGAGCCACTTAACTCTATCTTTCAAGAACACGCAAAACAGCATATGTCAACAAAACATATTTTACCGTCAAAGAGAACTATATTATAATTAAAAAACAGAATACATATTTAGCTTGTTCCCGTACTCTAGGATTTGCAGGTTTTACAGGAACAGCTGTTTCTGCCTTTGATAAACCTTATGTGAACGTGGCGTATGGGAACAACTTTGGACTAAATCCTGCAAATCGTAGACGATCTGGAACGCTCTTATTATATAATTACTTTTTCGCTGTTCACAAACTTTTGAAAAATTTGTTTTCAACAACTAAATATTTTCTTTTAAATAACAGTTTTTGCTGTGACTTACCGCTCTGTAAACATATGATATTTTGCTTGTCTGTGAAAGATTTTGACGATTTTTAGTTAAAGATGCAGTTTTACTATTTTAAATAAGATCTTTCGATTGGTGTTAATTTATATTTCGTTTATATAGTCATATATTATATTTTATTATTTACATTTATATTTATAATTGCATTTATGTACATATCTAGTATTTATAAATTTTATAATCTTTTCCAGCTGAACATAATTTTAAAATTGAAGGGTGCTAAGGGTTGTGTGAAACACGTGTTGAGAAGCATTTTTGCCGACACTCTACTCATTTCATACAATTATGAGGGCAAAGCCAACAAAGCTCCACTTCTGGGGCTAAAAACAATAGAATTAGTTTTCGGTAAATATGTTTTAATTGTTTATTTGACTTATTTCAGGAAGTAATGCATTTATATTTTTCCAACAGATGCGTTCCTAAGCCACAATAGGTACAAACAAATTGTAATAAAAAAAAAATTAAACATAATAACAAATCTAACAATAATTAATTTAATTATCTTATTATTAATCTCTAAAAAAATGTAACATAAAAATTTAATAACTTTCCAATCTAAATTTCAAAAACGTTATTTAAATACGGCTATTCGGGATTTTTTGTATATCGACTGCGGAGTGGAAGATCGACCTCGGCAGCCAGTTCGAAAATGCCCTATCTCAAAAAACTTTTCAAGAACGCCCTATTTCAGAATTTTATTAAAAAACGCTTCCGAGTTCGGTTCAAAAAGGCCCTATCTCACTTCAAAATGTATTGAAAATGTGCTGAGATAGGACGTTTTTGAAACGAATTCTAAAAAACGAATTGAAAAGTTTTTTGAGATAGGATGTTTTCGAGCTGGCTGCCGAGATAGGTCGATCTTCCACTTAGCAGTTGATATGCTCTTGAATTCTGTATTTGTGGTTTTTGGTAGGTAATGAAGTAAACTTTTATATTGTATTGCTGTAAGAAATTTCACTACATTTTCTACCAAAAACCACAAATACACATGCAAGGGCATATACAAAACATCCCGACTACCTTTATTAATTTGTAAATAATTGTAAATAGTGTAAAAAGTAAATTTTAACAATAGTTTTTTTAATAATTTTATATTAAAATTTGCATACTGGAATTTTAACAACAAAAAACCTACCTACCTACCTATTTATAAAAGCTTAGTAATTAGTAAATGTAAATACATAGTTTTAAACATTTTAACAGCAGAAATAACAATAATTAATTGAATTACTCACTGATCTGATTATTTAAATTAATATTTTATTATTTAATAAATTTTAATACTACATTATTTTGTCATTATGAAAGCGGTCATATTTATGTTTTTAAATATGTTATTGAAATAAATAAATGAATAATGAAAAAATTACTTTTTGTACAATTTACTTAAAAAATTTGTGGTTATAAACACGATAGCACTAACTACTTCAGTAGGTATCGTTAACTACATGGTAACCATAATATTAGCTACTTCAGCAGCTAACTTTAGGTACATGTTAACCACAACATTAGCCACTTCAGCAACCATCGTTAGTTACATGTTCACCACAACATTAGCCACTTCAGCAACTATCATTAACTACATGGTAACCATAACATTAGCTACTTCAGCAGCTATCATTAACTAAGTGTTCACCACAACATTAACCACTTCGGTCGCTATGAAAGGGGAATTAGAGTAGTGCAGCTATAGTTCGTTGAAATCGAACAGTTCTATTAGTGTAAGGGAGATAACGTATCACACGTATATGAAAAAGTGGTTAATATTTGCACACGGCTAGAACAAAGTTAGCCAGTTTATATACCGCTTCACAAATGAACGATAACTACCGGTTAACCACAATTCTAGCTGTTAGCTGTCTTGCAGGGCAGTAAACAACCTTCGGTGAATTTGGCGACTGCCTTCCTCGGGGATGAATATGCTAGGGATGAAATTATTGGTACACAGGCCTTCCAAGCACGCAGGGTTGATTTTAAGAAACAAAAAATAATTAACTCCGAAGTTTCAAAAAGTATAGTGTAAAACGAAATTTATTGAATAATTCCACATAAAATGGTATACACAAATGACTCATTTTCTGAACGATTTACATAAATAAAACGCATTTCATAACCTTTTTTGTGCAAACGGCATTTGCGAATTGATAGAAAAGTACTACGGATTGTAAAGTTTTGTTAACTATGAGGTGAATGAAAATTTTCAACCCGGCCTGACGGTTTTGAAGAATTTTTTTGTTCTAATTTTATTACTAAGGCGTCTAATAAATGCATGGCTTTTAGTTCTAGAAGAATAGAAGTCAGTAAAGACAAGTTTTTTTTGTATTATTTCTGATTTTAATTTCTCAACTTCTTTTGCACCAGAGCAACTGTCAAAAATTTCCAGCAGTAAAAAGTTACGAATTGGCACAACAGAAATGTAAAATTTTCTCGCCATAATAAAAAGTTTTTTCAACATGGAACTTTTCTACTAATTGACATGAAATTACTATCCCAACGCTCGGAGCGCTGCCACTGAGGGCCTTTGCCAACTGATAAAAAAGAGAAAATTTGGAAAGACCAAACAAAAATTTTGAGATTTCTCGTTGTGAATACGAATGCCATAGTTTTTACCTAGCTCGTGGGACTACGCAAAATGTTGACAGCTTGTAAATATGTATACACATAAAGTTGTTGGCGGTAATAAAGTCAAAATCAAAATGGAGAAAAGAACAAAAAGCGTACGCTAGTTGTCAGTTATAAAATAAATCCAATTTATTTGCGAATATTTGTTTATTCTATTTATTGAAAGGCAACCACGCGGAAAAGCTTGTGTTAATTATATTGATAACAGAACCTGGCAACTCGCACGTTGTCTAAATTCTCAAGTAACATAAAATCCACAAAAGAATACATTGCTTGTATTACCATCAATACGCCATGTATAAATTTTAACAACACACAAAAATAGAGCTTTCGGACGGGCGTTTGTTTGTTTTTTCAACACCATTTATAATTATACCTTTCATGAGCATGAAATGGTATTATAACTTTGGTCCGATGTTTGTAAGTACCAGAACAAAAAGAGATAGACCCATCAAAATGTATACTTATATGATCAGAACGTCGAGCTGAGTTGATTTATCCATGTCCGTCTGTCCGTCTGTCCGTCTGTCTGTCTGTTTGTATGCAATCTAGTCTCTCAGTTTTCGAGATATCCGGATCAAATTTGGTAGGTGGGTGTATTTTTATAATGTATTAATCATTTGTCGGAACCGGAAGAATCGGACCACTATAACATATAGCTCCCATACAACTGATTGTTCAGATATGAGATTTTTCGTTATAACTTCTCCATTTACGCAGCTACGAACATGAAATTTCGCAGCACTTGCACCCATTATCAACAGAATGCTTACAGTGAAAATTACAAAGATCGGGTCACTATAACCTATAGCTCCCATACAACTGATTGTTCAGATATGGGATTTTTCGTTGTAACTTCTCCATTTATGCAGCTACGAACATGAAATTTTGCAGTACTTGCACCCATTATCAACAGAATACTTACAGTGAAAATTACAAAGATCGGGTCACTATAACCTATAGACCCCATACAACTGATTGTTCAGATATAAAATTTTTCGTTATAACTCCTCCATTTATATCGCTAGGAACATGAAATTCCGCACTGTTTTCAATAGTTATCAACAGAAGACTTACAGTGAAAATAACAAAGGTCGGGTCACTATAACCTGCAGACCCCATACAACTGATTGTTCAGATATGAGGTCTTTTATCATAACTCCTCCATTTATGCAGATAGGAACATGAAATTTCGCACCACTTTCACTCATTATTTACAGAATACTTACAGTGAAAATAACAAGGATCGGATGACTACAACATATATCTTCCATACATCTGATTGTTCAGATATGGGATTTTACGGTAAAACTCCTTTATTTGAATAGCTAAAACCGATAAATTTCGTAAGATATTTTATAAATAATAATACAAAGTCTACTGAGAAAATCATCAAAATCTATGCTGTATAAGCTTTATCTCCTATAGCACTGATTGTTCAGATACCAGTTTTTGCCATATATCTCCTTTATGTAGGAAACTAAACCCAATAAATTGTGTTACCGGTTTACATACCGATCACATAGCAGTGAAAATCACTTAGATTGGTGCCATATAAAGTATATCTTCCATACCTCTGATTGTTTAGATGCGATTTTTTATATAAGTATGTAACTCCTCTATCGATGTATGCAGATGTATTCAAAAGCAGTAATCTGTCAAAGTAAAATTTGCAGATATTCATGAAAGGTATGAAGCCTTCGGCATAGCCGAAGACAGCGCTGCTCTTACTTGTTTTATTTTAATAAAATCCCTATTTGTCAAATGCTTAAATTTATTTATCTAATAATAATGCAGCACACAACCCTGAAATCTAAGAAAAAGTCTGAGGAAGGCCATTAAATAGCAGCACACAACCCCGTGCCTTCCTCAGGAGTGAATAATCCTACAACAACAACGACTACTACAACAACAATCCAAAAAGGTTGGTTACTGTCTATACTGTGACGCAAACTGACCGGCTGCTAGCGGCGCATAAGTTCGGTAGCTGCGCACACGCGACTTGTGTGTGAAAGCCGAGTAGCTCCCGGAGACTCCCGTGTGCATCACTGATCTATATATCGCACCCTAAATCAAAAACCGGCACAAATCAAAATTTTTCCAAATTAATTTTTTTCCATGAAACAGTTCACATACCGTATACCCAACGTACGCCAAAATTTCGTCTTCTTCACTATGTTCTTTAACTGGAAAAATACCACTAAACCTCTTTGGTTTTGCTTGCGTCGATTGCGCAGCATCAACAGTTTTTTGTCTCTCCTGAACATTTAGGATTTTTTGAGTTGTGACGGTTTTGGATTTAGTGTGCGATATATATATTAGTGTTGGGCAGTATCGATACCGAAAGTACTCAGAACTCGATTCTCAAAAGGATCGACAGTACCCGATTTTTAAAAGTATCGATACTGAGTATTCCAAAGTACTCAGTACTTACAAAAGAACTCGAAAGTACTCAGAACTTAAAAGAACTCAATACTCACACCTTGGAGTACTCAGAACTTAAAAGAACTCGAAAGTACTAAGTACTCACAAGAATTCGAAAGTATGTAAGAGTACTCAGAACTCAAAAGAACTAGGAAAGTACTCTGTACCAAGCATTAGGATACATTTACTCAGGATCGATTCAAAGTACTTACTCAGTACTAAGTGTCGAATAGATATTATTTACCACTATTTACATTTACTGGTATTCAAGTTATTCTACATGTAAAGTAATGTAAACGTGGTAATTACACATACATACATATGTCCTCTCAATAACAATAACTTTTAATCGTTCATTTTATTTAATCAGTCATTAATTTATTAAATTTTTTGTTGAGTTTTTCATTTATACCAAATTCGTGGTCGGCAACCTCAAGATAGTCAAAAAAATAACTTTCTAAAAAGTCACTTAAAAATCTCTAAAGTTTTGTCCAGCTTTTTCAAATCTTAACACTGTCTGGGCACCTCTAAACAGGGTTCGTATTTGCACGCACATGCTCTGCACACACATGTGCTTGAAAAAAATTCCATTGAGCTTACTGCTCATGCACATGAGTGCATGCTTATAAAAACAAAATTATTGCGCACTACTCACGTGTGTGCGCTTTGATGCGAAACACTTGCTCATGTGTGTGCTTCGAAAATAAAAAAAAACGCACATGCGCATGTGTGTGCTGTTCGATATGAAGCACATGCTCATGAGTTTGTTTGTAAAATTTTCATGAAGACCACATGCTCATGTCTATGCTGTGTACAGTGAAACTGAAGTGTATGATCAGGTACATATCCCTGCAAGCCATGGCTGAGCAGTTTCCCCTCAAATTCGACAGCATTACACACACTTTCGCAACTTTTTAGCTATCACGCACACATTTACAAATTTGGTATTCGAAATGTGAAACATTTTTCATTTGTTAGAGCGGAATTCCCACTTTTATAGGAATTCTGTGCGTTAAAGCGAGTTAGAAATATGGCAGTTTTTATGACAGTAGGTTTTGTCGAAAAATGTCACATTTGATAAAAAAAATTGTATAATTTTATAGATATTTCAAACTTCATTTTATGTTCCCGTTGCCGTTGCCGTCGACTTTGCATCATTATTCTTAAGGTATGTACATACATATGTAAATTACTTAACTTGTGCATTTTAATTGATTTTCTCGTTATTACAGATTTGCAACAATTAAAATTAAAACCCACCATCATCTTTAATGCCGTCACCAGCTGATATCGCACGCACCTCCTCCATCACCTTTAATGCCACCACCAACATCGTACCATCACCTTCAACACCGGTACCAGAAGTATCGCCACCATCATCATTCAACACCGGCACCAGCAAAATCGCACCATCAACATTCCACGCCTCTACCAGCAAAATCACCTTCAACATCGCCACTATTACTTTAAGGCCACCACCAACATCACCTTCAACGCCTGCACCAGCAATTAGTCTGTTCCTTTGAACTTCGGACTAAAACCTGTGGAACTGTCAAACTACAATTTTACGCTCTCAAATGAGAGTAAAAGGAGAACAGCTGCAGAAGTGCATAGGAACGCAAAAAGCACTATTTCCTGTAAAAACGTCAGACGGTTTGTTTACATGTCATTGGTACTACACCGATTTGGCTGAAATATCACTAAATAATTATTAAAATTTATACATATTCAAATATTTCGTTGTTTACTTCCATTTTTTAACAAATATAAGCTTCTTTGCTTTCACTGCTTTCTGTTTTTGTTTGCACATGTAAATCAGCTGATCGTTTGACACTTTTCATGAACTTACAGGAAAAAAAATCTCCGGACTAAATCCTGTAACTTCTGACTAGGAACAGTTGCTCATTTACTCTCTCAAATGTGTTCCCACTTACAGGTTTTGTGTCAATAGGAACGACTTCCTGTAAGTTCTGACTAAATCCTGTAAACCGGACTGCTATTGGAACAGACTAAATGTTATACACATCCACATCAATGGTCCTCTGCAATAACTACAAAATTCAAAATTCAAAAAATAAAAACTGTTACTACTGTTATGTCGCTCTTTTCTGTAATCCTCGTCTAATCCATTTCCAACCTTTTATAAAGTAAGCAGTAAGGATTGCTAAAGTAAGTACTAAATATTAGACATGGATTCGACATGGATTAGATAGATATATGAGCCAATTAACAGTAGTAAGGGTTTTGTTTTTTGAATTGTGAATTGTGTCGTTATTGCACAGGACCATCGATATGTACAAAGTATGTTATTTGTTTGCACATATGTACTATAAGAGTTTTGTATTAATAAACGTTTTTTAAATAAACCAATTCATTTTTAAAAGTAAAAATTTTGATTTTCTACTTATTTGTGTTTTCCTGTACTCAGGAGTTTATAACGACAAAAATGAGTAGTTTGATTATTAGTGCTGAGGAGTTTATAACGACAAAAATGAGTAGTTTGATTATTAGTGGTGAGGAGTTTATAACGACAAAAATGAGTAGTTTGATTATTAGTGCTGAGGAGTTAATAATGACAACAATGAGTAGTTTGTTTATTAGCACTGAGGACTTGCTAATAACAACAATGAGTACTTTATTCATTAGCACTGATGTGTTTATAAAAACGAAAATAAGCAGTTTGGTAGTTTCTAGAGCAGAGCAGATATATTTTTCATTAATCAAAGTTTTAATTAGTAAGAAGAGGTAAAATATTACACCAACAAGGGGAAAGTGCTCAGTTTTATCCCATCGCCTGAACAAAAATGAGTATTTTAATAAGCACTTTTGTAATTAGTGATAATGATAAAATGAGCACTTATTTGATGCTCAGCTGTCTTGCAGGGATCACTCTATGTTTTTTTTATATTTAACACATATAAGGACAACTTGTTGCTTCAACAAATACAAAGTGATTGAAAAGTTTTACTTGTATGTAGATAAAAGTAAGTAAACAAACGTTAATTTAAATTGTGTTATATGGCATTCCAAAATGCCATGTTAGTATGAGGAGATATCATGCATGTCGTTGTCTCTGAAGTACAATAAATCGAAATTTAGTTTTGTTATAAGTATGTTATTTAAGGTAGCGTCGTTTAGTTTTGAGCGATGCTTTGTTAAAGTCAATGATAAGGCACTGAATGTCCTTTCCACTGAAACTTGTGTTGCTGGAACAGCTAGAACAACTTCAGCAAGTTTTGTTAGATCTTTATCCGAAGGCAAGGTCTTCCAGTAGCTTAATATATCAGTATCTAAAGAAACTTTTCTCCCATTTGCGAATACACTTAACTTTTGCCGTAAATTTTGGACTACCTCTACGTCACTTGAGGTCTCTACCATATCTTCACAAATATATTTTTCTAAACGGGAAAGAGAGTTGCTGAATGTAGAAGACAAACATTCAGAATATTGCAAATTCAGATTTTGAGGACTCGATGACATTGAATTTTCGGAGCTTTCCATTCGCAAATGATTCTGAATAAACAAAATTGTAGCATTTAAAATTACAAAAAGTGTGTGTTTAGTAGATCTCATATATACCTCGGCATTAACTTTTTGTTGTGGAGACAACATGAGAGGGCCTCTAAAATTAAAGCGAGGATCTAAATATAAAGCAGCAATGAACGCATTATTGCTCATAAGGCTTTGTTTCCGGCTTTTCATCGCATCATGCAGCTGCGCAGCGTATGAGACTGTAGAACCAAGATCATGCAACTCTAGTTCACACGACAACCAATCTCTGTAAAAGTCTCCAACCACATATTGTTCGCTTTGCATCCGTTTTGTACATAAGGCAAGAGGTTTAAAAGCTTTAATAAAGTCTACTACAAATTCCCAGTGGAAATCTTCACTGTCAGGGCATTGCTGCTCTATGAACTCTTTTATTTTCTGCAGTGAGGTTAGCATTTCATATGTGGAGTTCCACCGCGTTAAATTATCTAGTACTGGCATTT